ATATAATAATATATTTATTATATAATTATTATATGCAATTATTGATAAATAAACTATTTTTTTCATCTAAAGTTACACCATTCTAAACCAAACTTTATTGAGATTATAAAGAGTTTAATAAAAAATTAATAATATGTAAGCAGTTATAAATTACTATAACAAGGAAGAATGGCAAATGAGTATTCACCATGTTAACTGAATATAATTTAGATGAATAATATGTTAATTATTAATATTGAAAATACACTTCATCATTTGGTAGATGAAGGGGTAAGACCATTTTCCTCTCTTTTTTTGCAGCATGCTAATTAATCTATATATATATATATATATAATGCTACCCTATGCATTAAATAAGGTAAGCATTTTATATTTACCCCACCACACTAGCCCCACCACATTCCCATTGGCATTTATAGCGAAGAGCCTAAAATTAAATCCATGAAAACAACTAATCATTTTAGAAATTTAAATATTACTAATTAATATGTAAGTTACTTGACCCTTAAAATTGTAACTTCCATTAATTTTTTCCTTCTTCATCTACCAAGAGATGAATGATCTTAAATATTACTAATTAATATGTTGAAAAAAAAAATGATCCTGCCTCTTCATCTACTTAAGAATAAACCAATCTTTTCAATATTAATATTAATAATGAACAATTAATATATCATTCCTTTAAATTATTTTTAGTTACTAAGGTAAATAAATTTTGTAATATCCCATTCATGTTTGCACATTTATAATTGCCCTATTCCCAATGGCATTTATATCCAAGATCCTGAAATTAAATCCATGAAAACAACTAATCATTTTAGCAATTTAAATATTACTAATTAATGTGTAAGTTACTTAACTCTTAAAGTTCTAACTTCTATTAGTTTTTTCCTTCTTCATCTACCAAAAGGTGAATGTTCTTATATTATTAATTAACATGCTGAAAAAAAAAAAAAAGATCTTGTGTCTTCATCTACCTAAGAATAAACCAATCTTTTCAATATTAATATTAATAATGAATAATTAATATACCATTCATTTAAATATTTTTAGTTACCAAGGTAAATAAATTTTATAATATATCATTCATGATTGGATGTTTATAATTGTCATATTATTATTTTTTATTAATAAATTTATTGCTTTCTTTACATGAAGAAGGAAAAAACTAATGGAAGTTAGAACTTGAAGGATCAATTGTTTACTATTTAAAGTCTCTGTGTTTATGAGAAAGTTTTTTTATTGTTATTTTATTTTAGAGATTTGTCTAAATCCAAATTTTGATTACAGGGTATAGTTGCTTGGATTACATTTTCTCAATATGAATAGGTATTTGATTTTAAGCATCAATTTCTTTTCTCTCTAATTATGTTATATTTTTTCTCTAATTTTAAAATATTTTGTTATGTAGAGGTAAATCAATTGCAAGAGATATG